GGCAATAAGGGGTAGGCTTGGGGGGGGGGGGGGGGAGACATCAGAGGAGAATGATTGGAGGCATCTGGCCGGGTCAAGATGGGGGAAAGGGTCCAGCAGGGCCCCCCCACGCACACACACACAATCAAGTGGTGGGTTACTGACAGGGCTCAGAGAATAGCTTTGGAAACACCAGCCCAGACTTCCCCATTTCCAGGCTCGCCCCTTCACTGCCCATCCAACAGACTGCATCCTTGGCCCAGTTACAAGGTCTGTGGGACGCAGGGCCAGGAAGAGGCCCAGGCTCACCTGGCGTCTTGGGAACGGGCACCGGCACAGGCAGCCTCCGGGGGAGAGGCAGGACCTCCGTCTCAGCACCCTGGCCCCAAAAGTCCAGCCTCCGACTGCGGCTTCCATCACTGCCACGGCTTCCCTCCTCCGGGCACCCAGAGCGGGGCGAGGGTTCCTTGCCAGCCGTGCGACTCCCACCCGGTGGCGTGCCGTTCCTCCTCAGCAAGGGCCTTGGCGGACTGCCCATCCGGCAACAGCCGGCCTTTGCAGCCGTCAACCTCTTGGGACTTGCCTCGTGGAAAAGGTGGCCGCTGTCCTCCTCAAAAACGGGCAGATCCACCTCCAGCACAGAGCTGTCCCCCACGGATGGCCGTGCTGCTGCCTCCACCTCCTCTTCGCTGTCATCCAGGATCACCACTACATTGGCCGCAGACTTCCCATCTGCTGGCAGGCAGGCGGAGGACAGCGGAGGTGGAGAGCGCTGGCCCAGGGGGGGCCAGCCCTGCAGAGACTGCCTCTTCGGGGAAGGGGTCAGGGCAGATTTCAGAGTGGGACCGCTGCCCTGCGCGTCTCCAGGCCACTGAGCTTCGGGCCCAGAGGTCAAGCCAAGCTTTGCAACCTGCCTACCGCTTGGGGCCCCGTGGCTGAACAGAGGGGCGCCTGGCCCACGAATCCTCTGGCCTCCGTCACCTCCCTCACTGCTTGGAGGCGTTCCCAGCAGAGGTGCCCTCCTGCCCTGGCAACAGCCACTGTCCACCTCCCGGCCGAGATGACCGCCCACGGCTCCGAGTGCCTCCCGCTCCTCAGGGGGCAGTCCCATCCCCTCTGCCGGCCACTTCCCCTGGCCAAGCTCCCTCTCACTCGCAGGGTCCACCACAGGGGGGGAGAAGGAGGGCAGAGGGGCTGGGGCACGGCCGGTGTTGTCTGCACCGCTGCTAGCAGCCCTTCCTGCAGAAGCCACACTCTGCGGCTCGGGAAGCCCCTGCTCTTCACCGCGACAGGGCTTCCCACTGGCCTCTTGCGGCGCTGGGGAAAAGAGGGGGAGCGAGAGGTCGCTGGGGAAACCTCCCTTCTCTTGGGGAGATGCTGGGAGTTCCTCAGCCAGGACCCCAAGTGACACCGGGGAGCCACCCCTGGAAAAGCTCTGTGAAAGTGGCTCCGGTCCCAGGGGAGTGGAAGACTGAAGGAGTGCGACACAATCCTCGCTGGGTTCCCTGCCGCTCTGACTCCCTGGGAAAAGCTCCCAAGACTCCGCCCCCCAAGACGTGGCCAGGAGGCTCTTCTCGGCCGGCTCCGGCAGCCCCTCCGGGCACCTTCTGCTGGCTGCTCCCAGGGGCTTCTGCTCCGGGGCATCTTGTGGGGGCTCCAGAGGACAACTGGGCCCGGCCTCCTGTCCCTGCAGAGGGGATGACTCCGGGCCCAGGCCCCCCTCCTCCGCCTCAGCCCCCCGGGGCCTCTCCCGGCTGTGCCTCTCCTCCTCCTCCTGCGCTTTCCGCTGGGTGGCAGCAAACTCGTAGATCTCCTCCAGCTCCTGCTCAGCCACCATGTTCTCACAGCCCGGCTCCTCCGGCAGCAGAGCTCTGTCCTCCTCCTCTTCGCCCACCCAGATGGACTTCAGGAGCTTCTCAAACTGCTCCACTCTTTCCTCCTCTTCCTCCTCCCGTCCAGAGGTGTCAGCGGCAGGCGGCTCACTCCAACCGTGGGCTGCGCACAGGGCAGCTAACTCCGCCACCCCAAACCTACAAAGGAGACACACACACAAGCAAAGACCTTCCTCCTCCTCCTCCACACCCACCTCTTTCTTGCTGGCAGCAGAGGCGAGAGCCCATCTCCAGCGTCAGCTGTGAGCCAGAAGTGCCCCCGAGGAGGAGGAGGAGCAGCAGCAGCTGCATACAAACCTGACGGCCAGGGCAGCCACGTCTGAGAGGACGTGTTGAGGAACGAGGTGCTCAGCCGTGTAGAGATAGCTCAAGAACACCCTGGCGGCCTCTCCCGAGACATCACTCAGCAGCACCCGGCGGGCCTTCGCTTCTCCTTCTTCTGCCACCCAGAAACCCGTCTGATCCACCTGGCGGCACAAGGGAAGGAGCAGCAGGAGCCTCCTGGGCCGCCCGAGAGCCACGACGCGACGCCCCTCCACTGCTGGCTGCATGGGGGGGGGGCGCTCAGGCCTCCGGCCACAGGTGCCAGCGAGGAGGAGGCCCCACTCCCCCCACCAGCAGGGGTGCAAGGAGGGTACACCCCCCCCGGCCTCCGTAAAGTGTTTGTGTGGGGGATGCCTGCCTCAAAGTGGGCCTGCTGCAACCAGAACCCCCCCCCCCACTCCCGTGTGTTGCCTCAGCAGCCCCACACCCGGCGGGGGCGACGGCACGCATGCGTCCTGTTTCCCTCCCCAGCAGGGTGACAGAACGCCCACCTCCCTACAGACCGTCAGCCGCTCTGCTCCGTCCTCCTGGTGACGCTTCTTCCCGATGGCGCCTCCCGCCTGGCAATGAGCAGCCGCCCCGAGTGTGGTGGGGCCCCTCCCCCACAAGGGAGAGCCGAAGCCCCGGCTCAGGGATCCCATCCGGACAGAGGAGGACCGCCACAGGCCCCCCCCCCCTGCCCTGGCACCACCACACCCAAACACAGCCGCTTCCTTGCGGCGGGCTAACCTGGACTGACTCGCTTCATGGGTACCGCTCACCTCCCCCCTCCCCAGCAGGGGCCCAAAGCGGCTCATACGTCATGCTCCTCCCCCTCCATTTGATCCTCTCAGCAACCCTGCGAAGTAGGCCAGGCCGAGAGAGCATGACCAGCCCAGGGCCACCCACGGCAGAGTGGGGATTCATGCCTGGGTGGGTCTCCCAGATGCTGGTCTGATGCGGCACCACAATGCCGCTTGCGCTGGCTGCCACTATCCTCCTCCCCTCTGTCTGCCTCCGTGCTCAGCCACACAGTTTTGGGCACACACAAAGGTGGGCCCAGCTCCCTCCCCTCCTGACTTACCGCTTCCATGAGCTGTGGGCACCGGGCATAGAGCACAAACATGTGAGCATAGAAGAGCTCCCCGCTGCCCACCTGGAACTGGACGTCACTCAGGTGGGGGTTATTCACCATCCCTTTGAAGGCAGCGGCTAAGGAGCCCAGCAGGACCTGCAGCCCGGGAGAGAGAGAGACAAAGGGCCCAGTCCAGACATCCCCTCACGGCTCTTGCGGCTCCCCTGGGAGGATCTAGAAGCTCCCCCTCAGCCAACGATGCTTATTGTGTGTCACAGCTCACAAATTCCCCGGGTACGTGGAGGGAAATCGAGTGGGGGACCAGTTTTCCAGAGGCCAGGCACTCCAGGGGGCCCCCGGTGGGGAGCTGTTCTCCCGGCCTTTTCAAGTGGCCTCTCCCTCCACTGGAGAGATGCTGACTGATCTTGGGCAAAAGAGGGGATTAAACTAGAGCGTGGGGCTCTTACTGGCGGAGTGAGGCTTCCCAGAGGCGGCGGCTTCTTCTTCTCCTCCTCTAGGGGCTGATTGAGATGATGGCTCTGCGGAACATTGCCAGGCATCCCCTCTTGCCCTCAATAAGGGGAACAAACATCAGTGACATATCTGCTGCAATCCAGGCAGCCATCCACTCATACATACAGGAGGGGGGAAGAAACCCCACAAGCCAGGGAGCGCTCTCCCCCGAGGCTCCCTCCGCGCCTCACCGGGCTCCTCCTCCTGCTGGGCCGCCGGATTCCACTGCGTGAGCGTCAGCCCTTCTCCAGCGAGCTCCATCAGATCCTGCAGGGCCCCTCCCTCTTCCTGGCTGGACGCCTCCGCCACCACCGCCGCCTCCTCCTCCCGGGGCCTCGAGCCTCGAAGGTCCGTGCCACGGCCTCTTCCCCGGAGAAGCATCCCCGTTGCCTCCGGTCTCTCCGAGCCCAACAAGGGCAAGGCTGTGCTGGGCATCGGTCTCTGGAGAAGGAAACGGGCTGCTGGTGGCACAGGGCACAGCCATGCCAGGTGCAGGATCACCCTCAAAACAGGAAGCCTTGGCCTCTGTGGGACGGAATGCCCAGCAGGGCCTCCTTGACACGGCTCCGTAAGGACATCAGACACCAAAGGGGAAGGAGCAGGTCCCAGAGGAGGAAGCCCACGTCGCAAGACCAAGGACCCTGATCCAAAAGAGTGACCCACAAGCAGGGGTCCTGAACAAGCAGCCCTCACACACAAAACAACAGTGCTCGATCCATACTGGCCACGCGTGAATCCACACATACAGACAGTAGCGATCCAGAATGACGCGCCCGTCCAGTTTCCCTGGGTTAAGAACTCCTCTCGTTCCTTTTGCCGGACTGGACGGGATGCTCATCCCTGGATGTCCACCTCACTGGCTAGCAAAGAGAGAAGCCGAACGCCTCTGCACGGCAGGTCCGATCGGGAGGTAAGAAACACCAGGCGCTCCTGACCCTCAAGCAGCTGGTGTTTCTTACTTCCCTGTTGTCTGTGCCTTCCCTTCTGAGGCCCGGCAAGCGTTTGGCTTCTCCGTCTGTCAGCCAGTGAGATGACCATTCAGTGACGATCCTCCCGTCCAGCTCGACCAAAGTCACAAAAAAAAGAGTCTGCAGCCGGGGAAACTCAGGAGGGGCTTCCTTGCGGAGTATTAAGGCTCCCACGTGTCAATCCAAGTCATCATAGATTGATCTTTTTCATTTAACGAGGAATTTTTCATTACACATTTGTTTCTTACTGTGTGGGTTCAGCACTTTTTTGTTGTGCAAACCTTAAGTATCAGACTTTTACATTTCATAAATGTGCCAAATAGTGCAACTAAATATGCTAAGTTATAAATTATAAAAGTTTATCATATTAAAGCAGCAAAATAAATCTAGGTTTTGCATATATCTCAATTTTTGAACAACTGTGTTCCCCCCCCCCCCCCATGTTTAATCTTGGCTCTGCCATGTTAAAGTTCCGGACTAGACACAAACTGTAACAGACAGGAGGCTCAGGTCAGTATCGAGAAGAGATTGGATTTATACCCCACCCTTCACTACCCAAGGGAGTCTCAGAGCGGCTTACAAACTCCTTACAAACTCCTCTCCCTTCCCACAACAGATACCCTTGTGAGGTAGGCGGGGCTGAGAGAGCTCTGACAGAAACTGCTCTTTTTGAAGAATAGCTGTTATCAGAACTATGGCTTGGCCAAGGTCATCCAGCAGGTGCAAGTGGAGGAGTGGGGAATCAAACCCGGTTCTCCCAGATCAGAGTCCGCCCACCTAACCACAACACCAAAGAGCTCTGCTTGCTGAGGAAGACCCCAAATTCAATCCCAGGCACTCTCCATTGTTTAAAGGGGGGGGGGGACTGATCGCTGCTCAGTGAAGTGGGAGAGGCCTCCGCCAGAAGCCTGAGAGCCACTGCCAGTCTGAGCAGGCACAAGTAGGCCTGACAGGGTCCAGCGCCAGGTACCGGGCTGCTCCCTGCATTCACACATATCTCAGCCTCCAAGTTTAAAGTGCACCGGACAAGCACAGAATGGCGCCTTACAGCAGCTGCAACCAGCGCAGGGCCCTTCTGGGGGGGCTTCCTTGCACTGCGCCCCTCGCCCACAGACACCCACCTGATCTGTCTGCCCCAGCCCATCGGGAAGGGTCGAGCCAGCCACACAGAGGGGTCCTGGCGCAGACGGTCCGGCGAGAGAGCTGCGTTCCCACAATGAGGACGGCGGCCCTCTGGGCAAGGCCACAGACCAGTCCGCTCTCCCGGACAGCTCCGAGGCCAAGAGCCGGCTGGGGGCCAGAGGAGGGGTGCCGGGGAACTCATCCGCTTCTGCGAGCAGCAAGGCCACGCGCTCCTCCGTCTGTCTGCGGGCCTCCTCCGGGTCCTGAAGCAAGAGTGTTGGCGGTGACTGCGGAGGCATCACGCGGCTCTTCTTCTCTACAGCGTGACAGGGGGAGAGAACAGCCCTCGTTACGCCCTCCGGAGAGCCAGCTCTCAAGGGAGGCCTGGAGGGCGGATGGGTGGGCAGTTACCTGGGAGGACCACACCACATCCCTCCCGCTAGCAGAGGTCCCCTTGCGCCTTGTCTCCCGGTGCTGGAGGAGGACGTCTGAAGGGAGAAAGCTGCCGCTCACACCCTTTGGGCTCGGTCCGGGCCACTCGTGGGCAACTTCTCCCGGCATAAAAACAGCAGGACAAATGGGGGGGGGGGGGGTTTCAGTATTCTGAGAAAGGGCAAGAAGGGCCAGAGCCACACCTGGTGGGTGGGCCAGCCGGCCCGCCAGCAAGGGTGCAGCAGCAGCAGCACCTACTGAGTGCCCAGCATGATCACCGCTGACTCTCTGGGTCTGCCTCGAGACCAGCCCACTGAAAGGGGCGGAGGGTGCCTGAGCTCCTTCCCCGCGGCAGACCAAGCCCCAGCACTGCTGCCTCCCAGAAGGCCCACGGAGGCTTTCTAAGGGGCTGCGGGCAGACCCGCTCCTGGCCAGAACCCCACTCCTCCTCCTCCTCCCCCCCAAGCAGTTGTAGCAAGGGAGGGAACTGGCGGGTGGAGGGTGCAGCTCGTGCCCACAGGTCACGCCTCAGCAGCTTCCCCGCAAGCCACCAAAACCATTTTTCATCTTTTGCAAACCGCAAGAATGAAGCCCCACAACCTGGCTAAAGTCAGTGAGAGAGTGAGGACAGGCAGGGGAGGCTTCACTCCCGGGCCCTTGCAGGCTCCAGAGAAACCGAAGCCACTCTCAGGAGGACTCCAGTGCTGTTCTGCACCTGCAGACAAACAACAGCTCTGCTTCCTGGATGGAGGCAGGCAGCCCCCCATGCGGTCCGAGGCTATTTCAAGGTCTGCTTGCCTTCAGCTCCTCGGCCATCTGGAGTCTACTGGAGAGCCACTGGGTCCGGGGACGCTCTCCTGGCCGGCTTGCTCTGACTTTTAGTGATCTGGTTAAAATCCTTTAGGGTGCCCCCCCCCCCCCCCCCCCCCCGGAAAAAGGCAGAGACATGAAGGCACTGGGCAGGGTGCAAAAAAACACCAAACAACTCTTTAAAATTTAAGAGGAAAAACCAGCTTTGATTGCTAGGACTTTGTTCAGCCAATGGAATAATTAGAAAGCTTACGGAGTGCTGAACAGAAAGTTCTACGGTATACTGTACACACATGCAGTATTCTCAAGGATCTATTTGTTTAAACGTGACTAATTTTGTCTACATAAAGTGTACTAATGTGTATGATGATCCACTGTCAAAGAGTTCAATATCTCCAGTGTTACAAAAGTTTAACATTTTCATTGAATTAGCTTAATTATCCAGATGTGTTCCTAGTCCTGTTGTGGCTGTTTAGAATGGCCCAAACAGATTTGTTTCTGTTTGCTACAAGGTTTTTTAAAAAGTTTTTCCTTTTCCTGCCTCGCACATGCAAAACTACGATATATGTGCTGAGGTGGGAGAGGGTGCAGCAGCAGTCCTTGAAGCTCTCTCTCTCTCTAGCACTGGCTGCATTTGTAATTTTGCTGGTGGGAAACCAAGGCATTGAGATGCTTTTAAGTTGGAAATGTGCCGAGCAATATTAAAGGCATCATTTATGTTGTTTTACTGCTTTCCTTTCCTTTTATTCCCTTAGAAGCTCATCAATTCACAAATCTTGAGCAGCAGAAAATACTTATTCCTTATTTTTTGGATGCAACGGCTAGAAGGACTGAAACATATTTTGCAATTGCTAAGGTAAACTTAGCAAAAGAGCCAGGGTTTCAGGAGTATAAGGGGACAGTTGGTTACCTAAAGTCTTAATATAATGATTCCTTATATTTTCATTTGAGCAGGACATGAAAGGATGTATTGATCCTATTAAGGCCACAAGGGCAAATTCTATCAGAATAGTGTTTTTACAAACAAGAAAGCTCTGCAATAAGAGTACATATAGGGGATTATTGATTTTGGGAAAGAAAGACCAAAAGATAGGGCTGAGCAAATTCTGTGGGCTCTCAGAACCCAATTTTACTGCTCTAACATGGTTAGGCCAAAATTTTGCATAGGTATGAACACGGGTTGTTTTTCCTTGTCTTCAAAATTTCTAGAAATGTTACATCTCTAGGCTAAAGGTTTGTAAAACAGACTAGTATTTATTGCCCTCTGCTTAGCTGTTCTGAATAATATTTTCTAAGTTCTGTTCTTTGACTCCTGCTGTACTTTATGGACTTGAACCACGAGGAGCCCTTTTACAGGCTGGGATGCGCAGGTATTTTAGAAGTAATGAACAGGGACTGGACAGGTGTGGCCCTGTCCTTTTAGGCTGGAGCAAAATTTGCCAGCAAATTTGGAAAACGCAACAGTGGCCACAGGATTGGAAAAGGTCAGTATACATTCCAATCCCAAAGAAGGGCAATGCCAAGGAATGTTCAAACCATCGCACAATTGCACTCATATCACACGCTAGCAAGGTCATGCTCAAGATCCTACAAGCTAGGCTTCAACCGTACATGGATAGAGAACTGCCAGAAGTACAAGCTGGGATTCGAAGAGGTAGAGGAACTAGAGATCAAACTGCCAACATTCGCTGGATTATGGAGAAAGCAAGAGAGTACCAGAAAAACATCTACTTCTGCTTCATTGACTATGCTAAAGCTTTTGACTGTGTGGATCACAACAAACTATGGCAAGTCCTTAAAGAGATGGGAGTACCAGACCACCTCACATGTCTCTTGAGAAACCTGTATAAGGGCCAAGAAGCAACAGTTAGAACCGGATATGGAACAACTGGTTAGTTTCGCATAGGAAAAGGAGTACGACAAGCATGTATATTGTCACCTTGCTTATTTAATATATATGCAGAGTACATCATGCGAAATGCTGGCCTGGATGAATCACAAGCTGGAATTAAGATTGCTGGGGAAAAGATCAACAACCTCAGATATGCAGACGATACCACTCTAATGGCAGAAAGTGAAGAGGACCTAAAGAGCCTCCTGCTCAGAGTTAAAAGAGGAGAGCGCAAAACTGGGCTTGAAGCTCAACATCAAAAAAACTAAGATCATGGCATCCGGCCCCATCACTCCTTGGCAAATAGAAGGGGAAGTCGTGGAAGTAGTGACAGACTTCACGTTCCTGGGATCCCAGATCACCACAGACTGTGACTGCAGCCATGAAATTAAAAGACGCCTGCTCCTTGGGAGGAAAGCGATGGCGAACCTAAACAGCATGATAAAAAGTAGAGACATCACCCTGCCAACAAAAGTCCGCATGGTCAAAGCAATGGTATTCCCAGTAGTCATGTATGGCTGCGAGAGTTGGACTATAAGGAAGGCCGAGCGCCGAAGAATAGATTCTTTTGAACTATGGTGCTGGAGAAGACTCTTGAGAGTCCCTTGGACTGCAAGAAGAACAAATCAGTCAATCCTCAAAGAAATCAACCCTGACTGTTCCCTGGAAGGCCAGATAATGAAACTGAAGCTCAAATACTTTGGCCACCAAATGAGAAGGGAGCACTCCCTGGAGAAGACCCTGATGCTGGGAAAGATTGAAGGTCAAAGAAGACGGGGACGGCAAAGGATGAGATGGTTAGACAGTGTCATCGACGCAACGAACATGAAATTGAGCCAACTTCAGAGGACAGCGGAAGACAGGAGGGCCTGGCGGGAGCTGGTCCATGGGGTTGTGAAGAGTCGGACTCGACTGTGCGACTGAACAACAACAACAACAAAAATATGAACCAGCCCCCCCCCCCCGGTGCTTTCCAGACTCCTGTCCAAGGCCTGAGGCTCTCAGCCAAAGGGCCCTGCAGCTACTGACAAAAAGCAGACCAAAAAAACAAGCACAGACCATTCTAGGGAGAGACTTTTCACCCATACGCATATGATTAGACCTTGCCACTCGCAAGATGTGTGAAAGTGGAATGCAAAATTATACCCAGCTCAGCATAACCACGAGGTGCCACCAGGCCACCTCCCAACACGCACCCACCCCTCACTTTTGGGAGGCCACAGATGGGGCAACTTCCAGACTGACCTCCTCTGGGGTTCTTCCTTCCTTGCCGAGCTCTGTTCTGTCTCCCACTCGACAGCCACCTGGCCTTTGCCGCCTCCGCCTCCTCGTGGAGCGACTGGGACATTGCCATGGCCACCAGCAGCTCCTCCTCAGCAGCTCCCATTCTGACACCATTGATCCTTTGCTTCTTCGTTGACTGCTCTGTGCGAGTGGAGACTTTCCGCTTCAGCCCGCTGAGCACAGGAGGGAAAACCAAGTTAAATGCAACAGGGGCTGCAAATGAAATAAGGGCTCCGCCGCTCTCTTTCGAAGTCAGACCCCACACTGAGGCCTGATTGTGCACTGAAGAGCGGGAGAAAGGCAAGTGCAAGCGAGTCCTCTTTAAACAATCCCATCTCCACTTGGACCTGTTAACCGCCTCGACCCAGCAGGGCTCATCAGGACCCCGGCCTGGCTTTTCCCCTGAGAAAGGGCCGGGGGGCCACCCCATCTGACACGCGCGCCCCCCCCTCCCCCAGCTGCAGTCCAGCTGCTCCCAAAGGCCCCAAAGCACCACCTCTTCTCTTTGGGCTGCTCACCTGGGGGCAGGCTCAGTCTCTGACTGCAGCCAAGGTCCACTCCACGCAGCCGCTCTGGCCTCCCTTTCCCTTGACTCCTTTCCTGACCAGCAGCAGCTGACCTCTTCATCATCCCCCCCCCCACCCGCTGTGACAAACATGCTCCCT